GAAGGGAAGGGAAGGGAAGGGAAGGGAAGGGAAGGGAAGGGAAGGGAAGGGAAGGGAAGGGAAGGGAAGGGAAGGGAAGGGAAGGGTGTACTCTAACCTTGGGAGAAGCTTGCTTACATCACACACAAATCATCTGGATAATTCTTCCTAAAATTCATTTGCTGGTGAAACAAACAAAGCACACAAACTCTCCCAGATGTGTACTTCATAAGGAATTCTCAGATTCTCAGTCAATGCGTGATTTATAACTTGGCACCCTTAGAAAACACAGAATCATGATGCAGAGATGAAATGTAGATGTGGAACTTCGGCATTTGCAAGCTTTTTCACTGCTTCCAAATGTTGCATTGGGCAATTATTCTTCCTTTAATAGTAAAAGGATTAAGGTTCATAATCTATTAATTTTCCATAAGTGTTAACCATGTAAAATTTCCTCTGCAAAACTTGCAGGATTCCAATAGATGCTTTTCAACATTTTCAAAAAAAAGAGACAAGTTGTCCCAAGTTGTTCCACTGTGGGCGAAAAGTTCACCACGCCAAGCAGAAAGACTATCCGCTACAGAAAGCATCTCCATTGATTTCTAGTGTGATTATGACTAGAATCTCTCCTTGGCCAAAGATCAACCAACTTCATGAAGACTCGGAACAATGATTTTTTTTTCTCCTGTAACAGCCAAAACTAAAGAAGACAGAAAACGCTTCACTATGAATTTGGTTCAGTTTTCAGTTAATCAAGCTTTAATCTCTAGTAAGTCGCAAAACAAAACCTATGAGGGAGTGGGAAGGAAAGCAATGCAGATAGTAAATCAGTAGGAACCCATGACATCAGAATGACAAGCAATGAACAGCACTAAAAAAAATCTTGCAGAGTCATTCCCAGATATGTCGGCAACCTTGGTTAACTCATGATCTAGCCTAGCATCCATCCCAGCTCATCTGCCCGTTAAAGATGTCAGTTCTTTAGTTCTTATCTAGGGGCTCTTAGGGAGAAAGGTCACTGGGATCTCACTAGTGTTGTTCTCAACAATCCTCATGGATATCTTCCCTTTGGTCTTGAATCTCCTTTTCTTCCTGCAGCACTTGGAACTCCTTCTCTTCCCCCTGTCCCAAGATGAGTTCCTCAACAGCTCCCTCTCCTAGGGAGCTAGAGTCTGGAATGAACTTGGCCTGAAAACTGACTGCATGAAATCTGAGGAGGCCTGTCCATGCTGACTGGAAAGGACAGCTTGGAAGGAGAAAAGAACAAAAGCAGTTAAACTTGGTTAAGATGTTACTTGATTAGAAACAGCAAGTAGAGAACAAAAATTCACAGGAGCTCTGTAGAAAGAAAATTTCGCCAGAATAATCACAAAGAATTCTTGGACTGTAGAAACAAATTCCCTTAAGGAGAAGGCCCAATATTTGAGCAATTTTTATATCAAAACTGTTTAAAGCTCAGCAGAAAAGATGTTTGAAGTCTAAGAGACAAGACAGCTTGGCCTTGYAGGCCAAGGGTAGGCCTTGGCCTGCTCCCAGCTGCAGCTAATATCCATTTCACTTTGGTTATATCAGAGTAATTGCACTGATTTGAACAGAACTCCAGCATTGAGAACAGACTGATTCCTAAGGTTTCGGTCTTGCAGACCACTCACAAATAAGCTCCACTTCCTCCCACCAAGCAGTCCCCCCAGAAACCAACACAGCTACTCAGAGCAGGCCCCTTCCTGACTGCAGAACAGGGCGCATACATGAGATCTGAATCTCCACTGCGCTGCTGAGAAGACAACTGCAAATGAAGTATTTCCACCCGAGAACACAGCCAGCCACCCTCCTTTCGTTAGTATCCTTTGTAGTATTCACAGATCTGGAGAAGCATTATATGAGCTAGAAGCATCTGGGCCATTTCTAGAGACTTCAGCCTCATCCATCTTCCCCCTCACCTGCCTTTTGCTCTGTCTTTTCATTTAAACTAGCAACTCGATTTTTTTTTTAAGCAAAATGAAGTAAAATACACATAATTTCTGCTAAAGTTTATTTACTTTAATTTTTGTTCCCTGTCTAATCTTTCTCATAAAGCACGATACAATTTTTTTAGCCCTGCAAGCAAAATAATTACAAAGATAATATAGCTGAATGTAATCAAACTGCAGGATTCTTTATTTTCCTGGTCTTTTAATTTAATTTCACCTCCTGTGGTCTTAAAGAAATATTACGATTATATCATCTTGTTACTGTTCAGATCATGTGTCTGTAAAAATGAGAAGCAATTGGTTCTCATCTTATTCCCTGCCACACAGAACATTCATATTCATGCAGCATCATTCTGAATTAAACACTCAGGGAAAAAAAAAAACCTCATTGATGAGCAGGAGCTAGATAYCTCACTCCAAATTCCATTGGCAAAAACATTTAAGAATAGGGCAGTGGAATAGGAACCACYGCTGGTTGTCCTCAGCATGCAGACTCTCACCTTTGGGTTTTGTGAAAAAAAATAAGTCCATGAGCAGCTCCTAGCTAGCAAAGCAAGATAGGGAAAGGAAGATCATCTTTTAAAAAAGTAAGCTCGAAACCATGCAGCTTTTCTTAAAAAACAAAATCAATAATAACCCATTGTACTGTCCGCAGGTATAAGAGGAAAACACAAAGCCACAGAAAAAAAATAAAAAAAAAAAAAGAAAAAAAATAAAACACATGAAAACAAGAGCAGCCATTGGAACAGGTATAACATACCCTTGGGGCCTAGTAACAGCAAATGGTTGCTACCTTCCTCTTTAGCTGTTTTTTTTTCTTCACAGCTTTCAGAATGAGCCAGCGCATATCCACCCACCACCGCACAGGTGACAAAAGCACAGATATTTGCGTAGAGCCCATGCCTGTGGTTAAGGCTTTCATTCTAGAGTTGTTTATCACAAAGACGCACGTTCTGTCCAAATGTCGCCAGCCCGGTAGAGCGCTCTTAAAAACACCCATTTCAGGCATTTATGCCTTAATTATCTTTGAATATAAAAATATACAATTACTACAGAAAGCTAAATGCAGATACAAACTTATGCTGCATTTTCGGTAAATACTGAAAGTTCTTTGCTAAACGAGCAATTTTAGCAACACTAACTTATAGCCTCAGRAAAGGAATATATTGATTAAATATATAGACAGTCTCTTCCTAACATTTATTATTTTGCACTTGAAGAAAGCAGTCACATGGAGATGATGGAGCAGATGGAAGTCGCTCTATTCAAGCCCCTGTAGGTAATATTTATTCTACCAGTTTTACTAGCTAATAGCTTTGATGTGTTAATAACCTGACAATCAATCACAGCCCAGCACAAAATATTTTTTTAAAATGCCAACCAATGTGCTCATCACTGCCCAGGTAAGATAGCTACAGAATTAATTCAGCATAATAATAAAAGGAGATCTTCTTGTCGTGAAGACTTGCATGTGTTTTTCACAAAGGCCTCAAGATTCCCATTTCCCAAATTTCCTCTATTAGACTATCATGAAATCTTCTGAACTTTGGGGTCTTTTTTTTTTTCCAAAAAAGAAATGGTTACATGAGTGAAAAGGAATCTCATTTTTAAACCAGAGCTTGAAAGCACCCTGCTTCATTTGAAGTATTAAGTGATTCCATTCCATTTTTTTTTGATATTGCAGGGATGAAAGCTCCTCTTGAACTCAGAGGAGAAAATTCGTGCGCGAATTTCCTCTGCTTATAGAGACAATGTTTTCCCTACAAAGCGCTTTTTGCTTTTGTATCAAGGGAGACAGGACAGGACTTCAGATTCTACTTGCAGAAGCAGCGGTTTATGAAGTTGCCAAAGTCGAGCTGCAATAATCATATTCTCCATGGGGTTTTGGCTGTCGCTGTAGTCACCTTCTTTCCTTCAAATATGCTCTTCATTGTTCTAGTGCCCTTTTTCCAATTGTTCCATGGCCAAGTTCTTGGAAAGCAATCAGGCTGCTTGTTTGGGATTTATTGCTAGTCTTTTGCCAATGAAGACATGCACAAATCTCTCCTGTAATCATCCTGCACAGGCCAGAAAAAAATATAGCAATAGGAGGACCGGCACATTTCACATGTTATATGGCAGTAGGATGCACTCATTAAAACATTCTGAATATGAAAAAAAAAAAAAAAATAGAGTAGCCCTTTTTCATGAGGTCGAATAAAGGTTATGTTTGAGTMCCATAAATATTGGCTTTTTTAGAATGCTAGTAATATCTACAATGAAAAATTAATAAGAGAAGAAAAAAAGAAAAATGCTATTGAAAACTTTTGTTTTCCTTTTACCAGATTGCAACCACACTTTGGAAACCCTCTGTCTGAGAATAAAAAATAATTTATCTTCCAAATTGCCCATTTTAACGCTAATAGTCATGATGACTAATTTAGCTGTTACTAAAATTTTAAGGGTACATAGGAATGAAAACTGTCTGCTCTTTTGTTTTTGTTGTTTTTTAACAAGTTTGTGAAGAATTTAGCAACTTACTACAGTCAAGTTGTATATGGGCTTTGAAATGTGTTTCAAGCAGTCAAAGAAAATCCACGTGCCCAGAAGGGGCACCTTATACTAGGGAAGACTATGTCCTTATGGCTAGCAAGTAGCAGATCACGGAGAAGACTCCCCAGATTATCTGTGCTTTGGTGACCCTTACTGCTCATACTGTTTGTTCTGCACACGCACGTCATAATTCAGTCCTCAGCCTCCCAAAGACTTGCCTTTTGCCTCCTTCTTTCTTTTGACTGGTAGAGATGTGGACTAAGGATGGTGCGAAGCACTATTGAAGCTTCTTGGTATTGGGGCTCTTCAAGCTCATCTGAAATTCTGAGATGCTCAGGCCTTGATCCCTCTTCTGCCCTCCCATTTCCGCCTCTGCTCCGGTTTTATGCCCTGAAACCAGGAAACTGAGTCYGGATTCATTCACAAACCCAGATTCACTCCTAGCACCTTGGGCATTCCCCTCAGTGACGGGTCTGTACTGATTCTGTTTCTAAGACATGATTGCTGAGACTCAGGAGCAAGAAGGCTAATGAAGAGATCCAGAAAAGTGTTTCACCACTTCAAAATTTAGGGCTTCTTACTCAATCTGAAATGCCTGCAATCGCAGTAATTTCCCTTCTAAAGATTCTCATCTCTCTTGTCTTCCCTTCTCTGCTTATTCTTTTCCTCGGACAACAAAGGATGGTCCCAAATACCTATTCGGTTGCTACTTGATTGCTTTCTCCTTTTATAATTAAAGCAAATGTATTTTT